GAATTCCCCAGCCAGCCTTGCTGGCTGGGGAATTCTGGGAGTTGAAGTCCACCCATCTTAAAATGGCCAAGGTTGAAAAACACTGCTCTGGAGAGTTGTAGCCAGCCTGCTACCAATCATGAGCTACGTGGACCAATAGTCTAACTCAATATAACGGACTTTCATGTATTCTTCTCTCCCTACCCACTGCCTCTACAAAGCAAATCCTGCCCAACGTGTACAAGCACATTACACTGCAGAAAAGCTCTTGCCTGCAGTGTTTCTTCCTTGGACACTGAGTGTTGCTAACATATGTTCTCTGCTTATTGTGCTGTTTTTTAAATTAACAATAATTAGCAATGTTAAAAAAGGATTAAACCTGGAGACTGCTTAATATACACTTGTCTTGGTTGCGCTGGTGCAGAGTGGCTTCCTCCTGGCATCTGAAGCTCCTCTCCATAAATGGGGAGGGTGGCCATGAAGTTTTCCTGTATCCAGATCTCCAGAGCTACCTTCGGGCAGAATTCAACCGATGTTTTATGGTAATGGCGTGGTTGAGGAGCCCTTCGATGTTCTTGAAATACATGCTACTGTCCTTCATATTCTTGATGGCACTGGAGCAGGAGAGAAAGCATCTGGTTAGAATGACAAGGGTTGGGGAAAGAGGGCCTCAAGAACATCCCAGCCTCAGAAATCCAGGGAGAGGAGTTGGACACCGAGAAGTGTGTTTATTTGGATCCCTGCCTGCAAGCACAAAGGCAAATACTTTCAGCAAATTCAAACTCTTTCAAGCACAGATGTCCTGTCATGAGGGCTAGAAACTTCTAATCACCCTTCCCAGCACGTTTTTCTACTTGCTGGGCTAAATGATGCCCCTCTACCTATGTTATGCTGAACTGACATATTAATTAAAAGCAGAGAGATTCCTAGGAAACTGAGAACATGAACTGAGGGATCAGGATTATACAGGAGCCTCTGAATGCCCTCCAAAGCTTGTCATGAATCTGTGATGTTTGTAAAATGGTAGAAAGGGAACGTTACTGAATATATGCAGAGTAATCATGCGGACTGAACTTTCATTTAATTTCATCCTAGTTATCTTTATACCTAGTTGAAATGCACCTCCCAGCACATACTCAATATCCAAGTATGGTTCTTGGTGTGAAAAGGATTATGCACCTTTGCTTTAGAATCAAACACTAATTTAACTTTATAAATAGCTCCTTTGCAAGTGCTCTTCTACTGAACAATGACTATATTTCAATAAACCGGATCCACACAGGTTGGGCTGTGCTGTGAGCGTACAGGAAAAGCTCTGGAATGGGGGATGAGGTTTCCATTTTGAAAAGCAGCCACCGAGTTAGTTCCTAGTCTTCTTTGATGGAAAAACAAGTTTGAACATATTCATGTTAAGTCCTTTGAAAAAACGTACACTCATCTTGAAAAAGAAATACACTTGGACTCTTTGTGGTTCTCTATACCCAATGAGTTTCTAAGGACAGTCACCTGCAGGCATATTCTACGGTGTAAATGGCTCCTTGACTCTGTTCTTCCCAGCTCTGCATGTCAGCCTGCAAAGAGAAAGGACAGCTAATTTTTTGCTAGATAGAGAGAAGCAGAAAACTTTGTTGAAAGAGCGATCTGTTGCTTCTCAATCTGGCTTGATTTTTCTTCAGAGGTAGCCTGATTACTGCCTCTTTCAAAGAGGCCGGTGCTGCTCTGTCTCTCATGGAGGCATTTCACCACCCTCTTCTTAGTAAATGTAACAAAGACAAATTGATAAAAGTCAGATATATATCCTATATATCCTCAGGCCTTAAGGACCAGTGCTTCTCCATTACAGAAAAGGCTCTGGAGAATTCAATTAGCAGATATACACGAATATACCCACTTCTCACAGCTGCCTCTACCTTGGTCTGATTCTCTGCACACAGAAAACTAACATACCACGGAAAAATTTTCAATTTCTCTTTCCCCAGTATACTACTTTTCTGCCTGCAAGGCATTATAAAGTATGGTGGAATAATTAAATATCTGAGCCCCTATGTCCTGTCTGAAACAGAATAGGTTTATTAGATTATATACTGTTTCTAAGAATGATACCACATCCATTCTCATTAACAGTTAAGACTGCGGCTTACTTTATGTTCAGCCAGTTCTGGGAGAGACCGCCTGACATGCTCTTGAAGCCGATACAACGCAACAGAAGGTTCATTGGCCAGGACATTCATGCTCTCTGTAAACTTGTCTGTCACTATCAGAAAAAAGGAAGCAACATTTTTCTCACAGCTTCACTTCCACACCAGGAGAAAAAAAAACGCCTTCACATTTTTCTTTCTCCTTATTGCCAGTGTTCAGTAGTACATGTCATGCCTTCATGCAACCAATGCAAGAAAGGGATGTATAGGCTTGGAGAAAATTCCAAAATATGAAAACTAACCAGCAATAGGGGAAAAGTCAGGATAGGTGGGCAGTCTAAAATAGGCACAGTGCCTCAGAATGAGAGATGAATGTTAGGGCAGAAGGAGAGAAATGAAATTGGAAAACAGGATAAGAATCCAGAAGGATGGTGGCGAAAGTGAATCTTTCACACTTCAGTTGTTGTCATTATATTTTTATCCCACTTTTTTTTATGTAACTGGAGGCATATGGTCCTTCCTCCTCCTATTTTCCCCACAACAACTATCTTCTAAAAGTTTAGGCCCACTTAATGTGGCACAATCCCTTTATCCTCACAATGAAGCTGTGAGGTAAGTTAGGTGCAGAGACTGCAACTGAGCAGTTAGGAGCCAAGTCTCCAACATGCTCCTTTCTAAGGTAAAACTCTCAACTGGGAGTTAATCCTACTAATTTTAGTGGGTTTTACTTCTGAAGAAACATGCAGACTTTCAAGTTGCACCCTCACCATTAAAACAAAAGGTCCTGGAGTCAAACTCAGCTGCTGGGAACTTCTTGGCAACAATAGAAACACGGCTTGCCATTGCTATTCTCCACTTTCAGCTTAGCTTACTCCTCTGGAATTACTTAGTGGTCTTCCATCCGGCCTTTGACCAGCTGCCACTATGGTTAGCTTGTTTGTGATCAGCCCAGGTCGGCTATGAATGGGTGCACAAGGCCAGACCAGAACAATAAATAAGAAAGATCTCTTTCAGTGCAACAGAATTGCCCTCTCCTATTTGTAGCTTGGGGGAAGATGCCCGGGACTGTTCAGTCCCTACTGAAACAAAGACAAATTTTCAGTATTAAAGCGAAAAGGGCTGGGTTTCCACCCGATCGGCAGAAATTGTCCGGGCACGGATCCCACAGGCCAACTCTAGAGCCGCGACCCGTTTTACTTTGCTCCAATAACACCCAACTCTCAGCCAGAGGCCGTGGGGGGAGTATATGCGCCCCTTTCCCCATTCTTCCCCGGACTTCTTTTAGTGTAACACAACCCGGAAGTAGCCGTCACCGTTACCTTTTTTCACTTTTAGCTGCATCTCAGGCTCCTCCATGGTCCCGAACCGAGCCCGACCCGGCGTGAGAGAAAGCGGACTGCGGAGCCGGGGCGGAACTCCAGCCGAGCAGCAACTTCCGGAAGGCTGGGTGCATCGTCAGAAACGTACCTGCGTGGAAACACCGTCTGAGGAGAAAGGTTCTTACTGTTTTTTTCATCAGTGGTGTCAAAACGGTGCGGGAAATGTACCGCTTCTTCCACTTTCTTTTCGCGTTCCGTCAGGATTTATTGATTTATTTGGATCTCGGATTCCCCATGCCGGGGCTCAGGCCTGAAAAGATGCTAAGGCTTACGAGAGAGGGTTTCCCTTTCTACATGAATGGCTCTTACCAGTCCCCAAGTACTTAAGGAAAATATTCTTTTTTTCTGTTGTGTTCGGTGAGGCTTCCTCCCTAACATGGTCCACGGATCCTGGAAATAAATCCCGCTGCGCTCAGTGGGATTGTGTGTTGTGTTTTAATTAACAAAACCAAGCACAAAAGCCTGTGCAATTGTTTGTCTTAGCTAAAAAAACAACAGAAAAATACACAATCCCTTGAAAGCAGAGGGACCTTCTTCCAGGAACCTTAGTGGCCTTCTGAAGTTTTTAATTTTTCTGTGCTTGGTTTTTTTCCTGTGTTTTCAGTTTTTGTATTTACTGTTTTTATGTCACATTGGTTTTATTGCTATGGTTTTATTTAGGATTCTTTCCTCTTTCTCATATAAACCATTCCAGGCTCCTCTGAGAAAAAGAGCAATAAAGAAATACACATCTATGTATCATTTTAATAATAATGGGACTTTTACCGTAGTGTTTCTCAACCTTGGCAACTTTAAGATGTGTGGACTTCAACTCCCAGAATTCCCCAGCCAGCCATGTTGGCTGGGGAAT